TGGGGTTAAGAAACTGTGCCATACACTTTATATGTTACACTGATGTCAGGGGATATAAATTATAATTACAGGCATTATTATTCAGAGATGCCGCAGCTCCTGACTCCTGCATCCAAGCCTCACTCCTTGCCTGTGTACCTCATAGACTTACTGGGATGTGACAAAGGAAATCTCCTATCAGCCCTGTCTGGATAGCTAAGAACTGTTTTCAGTAATAAGAAAACTGTCTTGATAAATCAGATACTTGCATGTCTTTAAAATGTCTGTTTTACTGTTTCTTCTAAGATTTTGTTCTCCATCTGCTTTGAGGGAAGCAGATAGATTTCAGCATGGCTTTATAATAAATCTTCGAGGAGGGACTAGCATTAACATTTGTGTAGGTTCTTTTTCATCTTAATCCAACCTTAGTTAATAATCAGAAAATTCTACATAGTGGGTAAGAAGATGTAATTAACCCTTTGACCCCAGAATCTTAATTGGCGCCTGTTGAAAACAGTGGGCAGTTAAAAAAAAAATTAAAAAGTAGCCTGCAGTGATTGAACCGCATAGTATATAATAGCTTTCTCAATTCAAAATTTTAAAAAATTCCACAGAACTTTCAGATTAATCACATTTGGTTTCTGAGACTTCTGATTGAACGTTTCCTTCTTCCTCCTACCTTTTTAAGTTGAGACACCCAAATTAAATCAATATTGATGCTTTTCTTCAGACTTTTCTAAGCAGCAGACTACAGCTAACTACAGACAGGAACGCCCTTGAATGGAAAGGTAATGGCTGTGTGAAGAGTAACTTGCCAATCTGCTTTAGACCCAACTTCACATCCCATTCCTTATTTGAAAGGTAATCAAACCTGAATTGTGGGTATTTGTCTCAGAATATAGTTACAATTGACCAAAATGATACGTATAAAAGTAAAAAAAAAAAAAAGAAAACAACAAAAAAAGAGCTAATTAACCAAGGTGTTTTTTTTTTCTCTTTAACCTCTACAATGACTAACAACTAATCTGACTCATTTTCTCTACCAAACTGGCTGTTATTTTTAATTGAATTGACTGGATGTCTTTGTGTCATGTAGACATAGACTCATTTTAATCTCACCGGGAAATTGGAACATGTGTCAAAGCCTCTATTTTTGCCAAACAAAACTGGCCAGGTCTTAGGTGGCTGCTGCTTAATAGCATCAGATGTTTAGCCTCCAGATATTCCTTCTCCCTGCCATGGTGCCCAAACCTCCTGAGTATTTTAGGAAGTACACGGGATCTGAACCTAATGTTAAAAGTTACAATCTCCTTAGATGAGAAAGTAAAGTATATGTGTAAATGAAAATGATATATCTATTCAGGAACAGCCCTGAATACTTAGTAAGGCCATAAAAGGTCTACTCTAACCTTGATATTCCAAATATCCAGACTGTCTGAGAAATCCGTGGCATCTAAATCTGCAAATAATCTAATAAATCCTAAATAACACTTTTGGGCAAAACAGTTTCCATCCCTCTTTGTCATTATAGCATGTGTGTTATAAAACAAAAAGCATTGAGCTCAGAAGTATAACTAGATTTATTTTTTTTAATTTTTTTAAACTTTTTTTTTTTTTTTTTTTTTTTTAGTTTTTCGGCGGACACAACATCTTTGTTTTGTATGTGGTGCTGAGGATCGAACCCAGGCTGCACGCATGCCAGGGGAGCGCGATACCGCTTGAGCCACATCCCCAGCCCTATAACTAGATTTAAAAAGTCTTGACTGTGCTATTGTTTAGGTGCTTGTTTGACAAAGATAAGCAAGACTCTGTTCCACTGTTGAGAAATTTGTCATGTCTTGTTGAATAAGCCAACAAGGATCATACAATGTTGTAATATTATGGAAGTACTGAAGATTCAATCCTGGTTTCTGCCACAAGCTGGCTGTCCCATCTTGTCCAGCCATTTAGCCTCTCTGTGCCTCAGCTTCCTCACCTGAAAAAATGAGGGTTTAGACTACATGAGATTATTTCCATGCCAACTTCATCCATGCCAACTTTCTTCTGCTCCCAACAAGCCTTCTGATTGTCTCCACAGAAGTTCTCCTGTGATCTCTCTCTGTGTCATCACTCTCATTTGACAGTAGCATATGAGAGATGTGATTTGAGAAGATGGCCTACTGAGTTCTCTAATCATATAGAGCCCAAGGCTATTAGGTTGAATGAGAAAACAAACCAGGACCTTTTCTCCAAAGGGAAGGTCAAAGGGGGAGGGTTCTAATCCTCATGAGTCAATGATACCTGTAGTTTGAGACAAATACCCATAATTCAGGTTTGAATACCTTTCAACTAAGGAATGGGATGTGAAGTTGGGTCTAAAGCAGATTGACAAGTTACTCTTCACACAGCTATTACTTTTCCATTCAAGGGTGTTCCTGTTTACAGTTAGCTCTAGTCTGCTGCTTAGAAAAGTCTGAAGAAAAGCATCAATATTGATTTGATTTGGGTGTCTCAACTTAAAAAGGTGAAAGGAAGAAGTAAATGTTCAATCAGTAGTCTCTGAGAAATCTTGTTTCAGATAAAGATGTGTTGAAGTGAGATCCTTCCCGGATTTGTAGGAAGGAATCTTCTCTCCATTTGCACTGGTTTCAGGTGCAGTGAGATCAGCACACTTGTCTCCATAGATTCAAAACCAATGCAAAGGAAGAATGAGGGCATAAAACATTCTACAGTGGAAAGGTTAGACCTGATGAGGCCCTAGAGAGTTTGGCAGTTTGTCAAAGATAAGGACCCCATATCTCTTAGACAGTATTTTGTTCCCCACAGTTGGTTCCAGGGGAAATACCATAGAGCAAAGGTGACCATGTGACCTCTTGTGCAAATGATTTATAAACTCTTTTGTCATCCCACTTCTGGTTTTTTTTTTCCCTAACGATCTATCGTTTGAACCAAGTGATGCAGTTCAAGAAGTCGTAGGATGCCTTTTAGTCTAAATATTTTAACTTAAGAAATGCTGTGAACATTTGTCTTTTCAGAAATCACCCATATCAATTAGACAATGTTTATTTTTAGTAGAAAACAGAATAGTTATTGAGTCTATTAGGACACAAAATCAAACTCACCTAAGGATGGGCTGTTGCCTAACTGCACTAAACCTCAATTTCATTGTATATTAAATGTTGATGATATTTGTGAAAATTTAAAAATACATGCATACTGCTTAGCACACACTGCTTAATAAATAAAAGCTGTTATTATTTTACTGTCTCACCTAAAAAATTTCTATTGGGTAATTCACTCTTTTGTGAAGCAATATAATGTAACTTGAATTGTCTTCACAACTCACTAAATCAGAGGATACGACTGGTTGCCAGCTACAGTGTCTATCCATTGTGGGGCAGTGAAAAGAAGTCAGAAAACATGAAAATCCACATTTTATGTATGCATATAAATAAATACACATGTATGCCCAAATACGTATATCTAAACATATATGCACAAATACATGTATTTCATTGCCTTAGTCTGTTCTGTGCTGATATAGCATAATACCTGAGATGGGGTAATTTACAAAGAAGAGAGATTTATTTCTTATAGTTCTAGCATCTGTGAAGTCCAAAGTCAAGTGCCCCATATCTAGCCAGGGCCTTCTTACTGCATCATCCTACGGCAGAAGACAGAGGACAAGAGAGCAATTGAGAGAAGGAGAGGAAGGGGACCTCACTCATTCTTTTATCAGGAACCCACTCTTGAGATAACTAACCTGCTCTAGCAAAAACAGCGTTAATCCATTCATGAGCACAGAGTCCTCTTGACCTAATCACTTCTTAAAGGTCTCATCTCTAAACACTATATTGCACTGAGGGTTAAGTTTTCAACATATGAACTTTGGGAGACACATTCAATCCACAGCATTTGTATRCATACACATTCTTTTAAATTCAGTATTGTTTCTGGGGTTTGAAGGAATAGATATTTTACCTGAATTTTATGTACTTTTTCTACCTTTCTGTATTTAAAAACTATGTCATTAATTTAGTGCTTCCCCATATCTTGCTCCCAACATTGATTACATGTATTTTGCAAATTCACAACCTTTGCCAATGCCACTAATACTTAGTGTTGCAAGTAAGTCTTGTGCAATCCACTTTATTAAAAAATAAATAAATGAAGCAAAACAAAAGACTTAAGGATGATGGAAACTGCAAAATGTGCTTGGACCACAAGAAATTCAAACAAATGTATTTCCATTTTGGGTGGTGGCTTATAGTTGGAGACCTGATGATTTACGTCATTTGTCGAACTAGCAATGCAACTCTCCAATTAAAAAGTTGGTCTGAGGTTTCAGTAGTTACAGATGATGTGCAGATACTTTCATTCTTTTGTTCTTTCTTCTTCTGTGTTCAGGAGTTCTAATAGAAACTAGATCTATCACAATAAAACTTTAATACTGAGTTCTGCAAAACAGGATAGCAGTTTGCAAGGTTTCAGCCTGTAAACATTCACCCATAATGTATTGACTTTTCTTATTTGTTCTAACACAATAAGCACTGAGAATAAGGAGGGCATAATCCTCTATTAATTACTAAATTATTGATGTCCATAGTAGTTCAAGTAGTGATCCTACTTGCTCTTCCTATAGAAACTCTTTTTTTTCTTCCTTTTCAATTTCCATTCCTCTTCAGCTATTTAAGAGAATGTGTTGCTGATTTACTTTAAGTAACCACTGAATCCCCCCAAAATAAGGGTGAATGAAATCTTATGAAATCATCACAACCTTATTTATATGTGAATGTAATGTATCTCGATCAAAACAATGCAGGCCAAAGGAAGTTCCTGAAATAAAGAAAAGTTTATAGTTGTGATTCAGGTGTCTGAATTCGTTTACATATAATGCAGTCCTGAAAGATCTTAGAACTTGGGTTGCATATGAAGAAGAAATGGTCTTAAATTCATGTGTTGCTTTATATCAGTTGCCTTGTTAATTAAATATCAGATGTATTTATTAACCTGTTTATCTGTTTGTTTGTTTTTTCCTGCAGTCCCTGGATGGCTTTGTATTTGCACTAAATCAAGAAGGAAAATTTTTGTATATTTCCGAAACAGTCTCCATCTACCTAGGCCTCTCACAAGTAAGTGAAAACATTTAGATTCTTGGTGGCAAATTGTGAAGGCTCTCTCTGCCTCATGTTTTTCCTTCTTCAACGGATATTCTATTTAGCATGAATTATCAAATTTATTATTTAATGGGCTCTACCGGACTCACTAAGTCAGTGAGAAACCTGTCAGAATAAACTTGTGCTCAAAAACTTTAGTTCCCCTCCCTGCCCCCCAAGGATCATTATTAATTTATTGAGAACAAATGAAGTTTCTTCCCTCGGTTGTTTTGAACTTTGAAACCTCTGTGCCCAGTAGGAGAGGGACACACTAATAGTGCTTCCCTTGTGTCCTATTACTGGATGTTTATGGAGTACCCTGCATTATCCTGGGAGCTGACACAATGGCAGGAGTCATTTGGAGTCAAGAAATTCTGAAAGAGACCATTAAAATGTGTGGCAGGGAAGGTTCCAGCAAGGATATATTTTGCTGCCTTTGCAAATGCTTCCTAATGCTGAAAGACAATTTCATAAAATAAGGCAGTCTTTCATTGTTTGCTATTTAATTGCTCACATGTGTTTATCAGAGGGTAAAAGAAAAGAAGATGGATTCTGATGGGGCAAGTGACAACATCCTGGTTTTCAGTTCTTGATATTCCCCTGGAACACAAAAATTTTAGTTCCATTGGATTCCAAGACCCGGGCTGCATCTACAGAATGCCAAAATATCCTGAAGTAAAGTTTACCATTCAGCTAACTATCCAGATGTTTCTCTCCATAAAAGTGCTAAGCATCTGGGTATTTGTGCCTGTACAGGTAATTGGCTAAGTTTGACCCTTTTCATCTGGTGGTTTGGAAGGAGGAAAACAGCCTAGCCTCAGAGGGAGGGATTTTGTATGTATGTGACAATCTGCCAACTTGGATAATCTACCTCTCATCAGCTGCCTCTTGCAGCTGAAGCTAGAGATAAGATTCGCCTCTCTCCTCTTAAGTGGGGCCCACCCAGACCCACTGCTTCTCAATGTTGGCACAGCTCTAAGGGAGCATCTAGCATGGCTGGCTCTTGGTGAGTTTGTTGGGTAATAGCTAAATCAAGAAAGACGTTGGAAAATAATAGAGAGAGAAGAGATTTGGCATTTCACGAGGGTTGGGGGAGGAGGAGAAACACTGCCAAATTTGACTATTTACTGTTGAGAATCCAAACATGGGGTACCATCATTAATGCTTCCTTTAAGAACATACAAGCTATCAGATGTAATGTGCAGAGAATTCTATTTTTTGTGGGCTTTAGCAAACCAAGCGATAAAAACTGAGCTATTGTTAACTCAGTATTAGTATTCTTGTATCTTGTTAAAACTTCTGGTTTTGTAATAGCCTTTAATAGACCTTAAGCCTTGTCTTAATCTGCTTGGGACCTAGTAGTGAGAATCTTCAATTTTGAAATTGGTGCGCCACCATGTTGCAAATACTGTATAGAACTGGAAACGCCACTATTTGTTGTTCTGCAATGCCCATATTCATCTGTTTTATGTGGAGTATCCAACGAAGTTTAATAAGCCAGTAAAGAAGAAGGATGAATAATTAGTTTAAGCAGGTAAATGCTAATTAGGGAACTCCTGAAAAGCATCCATTATATACTAGCTCCAAACACATTTTACAGCCCTGGTTAGTGGTGTAATCCAAATTCTGTCAAGGCAACTGCATTTTCTGTAATTGAGATGTGTATGTTTGCTTTGCATAACAGATGGCTCTGTATGCTTAGACTGATAGCTAGGAAAATAATAATTGCATTATTCTGGCCAAAAGAATATTAGCTCTTGGGTTTTGGCCATTTCAGTCAGTCCTCCTGCCAGCACAGCATATGCACATATATGGATTGGATTTTCAAGGAAATTGATGCATCTGGAATAGTGTGGCCATCTGAAATATCATCTGTTCAAGAAAAATTTGGCTTTAACCCTGTGCTGGTTTCTCCTTAAATGCAGTTTATTTCTGTTCTTCTCTACTATAGCATTAAGTCAATCTTTTCCTAAATATGAAATAAATAATTGAGGTTTCTGCAAAAGAAAGTAGCCATGTAGAAATGGTACAGGATCTGGCAACTTCTGTGCGCTCAGCTCCTGCTTTTGCATGTGGTGGCTTTAAAAGTGTGCACCAATAGTCAACATCTTGACTTACCCAAGGCAGACCCTGGCTCCGTGCGCTGCTACCTTCTCCTTCTCATGGACACTTGCAGTGTTGAGGCTGGGATATAGGACACAAGTCTTCATTTGGCAATATTACACAACTGAAATGATGAGGGGTCAGAAAAAAGTGATTTTTTTTTCACATACCAATCTATGTAGAGTTCAAAACTGAAATTTAAGAGTTCTAGATTAACATGAAAATGGCCTAATATGATATAGCTTTAAATGCTGAAACTTAGGAAAAGAGTTTTCAAACCAGTTAAGCTACCAAGTCATACTAGGAAACTGGAGATCCCTGAGACATACCGTTCTCAAGCCATTTGGGAGGTTGCAGGGTGCCTCAGGGAAATACGCAAACATATTCTAAGTCATTCAGTTAAGCATCTGGTCTTCTACCAATACAAACACATGCACGGGAGCACAACCATTACTAAAATTTGGACTGAATGCTCTGCTTGTGTTCTACAACTTTGGCTAAGTGGTTATTCCACCATATTCTAGATAGCGATAAGGAGTAAGTTATGCTCCCTCCTTTCCTTTTAAAACAGTTTTGTTAAATAAAAAACATGTGCCTCTATCAGCAAAGACCTACCCAGAGAAATTGCTGAGTATCTCTGTTTGTTAGGGCGGAGCCATGTCTGCATTTCTTTTTTTTTTTTTAATTTTTTTTTTTTGAAAGAGAGAGAGAGAGAGAGAGAGAGAGAGAGAGAGAGAGAGAGAGAGAGAGAGAGAGAAGAGAGAATTTTTAATATTTATTTTTTAGTTTTCGGCAGACACAACATCTTTGTTGGTATGTGGTGCTGAGGATCGAACCCGGGCCGCAAGCATGCCAGGCATGGCGCGCTACCGCTTGAGCCACATCCCCAGCCCCCATGTCTGCATTTCTAACTCTCAAGATATTCCATCCTCAGTTTTATTTTCTTTCAACATGTAAATAAATATGGTGGCTTTAAAATGGCTTATGCCAATTAGGATTTGTTTTTGGCTTATGAGAAAAACCGTGAAGTAGGGAAACTTCTGCTGAGCTTGGTGGTGTAGCCTGGGTACAGAGCCAGCCAGAATGAATTTGTTTTTGCATGACACTGAGTATGAGAGTTCCTGGTGTCCAGGACACTGTGTGCTGGTCACTGTCATGTGCTTGTGGTGAAGGAATGAAGTAAGCAATGGTAAGATTCGAGTCTCCTCAGCAGCCCTTTTGTCTTTTCCAGGCAGTCAGATAGATATGTAACTTCACATCCAAGAAGTGGTTTTAGGTGGTAGAAGTATGCATTGTGGACTTGCTTTCCTAGGTAAAAATGATTCCCACTTACTCACCATGAGGCCTTCTCCTAAAGGAAGAGCCCCATATATTAAGGATGATTTTGGTTTACATAGAGATTAAAAGACTTCTTATCCCTAGCAATGGCATTCAGAGCTAGCCAGACAACTCTGCTCCCTAGCTATGATGGAACTGGTCAAATGAAAATAAAGAAAGAAAATAGAATAGATTCCCTAATTCTGAAAATGTAACAATGATAATGTACCCAGCTTTTATGAAATCTCTTCCAAAACATAAGGGGCTTAATCACCAAAGAATCCAACAAGGACATTTCATGATAAATAAAAAGCAGTTCTAGTTTATACAGAATTTAAAGTTTGGAGAAATATTTATATGTTGGCTTATATTCTTCTCTTTCCACAAAGGATTTGAAATAAACATTTGCAATAAAAAATGATGTCCACATAGAACAAGGGAATAAAAAATAAGCAAAAATGGGTAATATGTTGCCACAGAGTAGGAGAACACAAATAGGTGCATTTATAAAATGGGATATAAATGGTCAGATTTAGCTGTGAGCTTCCTGGCAACCAAAGCAAAAAAAAGAAAATAGAATCAAATGCCAAAAATAAGGAATCATTGCTTTTCAAGGATAGCAGTTTTTCTGGACCTGAAATCTGAAAATAGATTTCATATAGGATACCTACAGAGGCTAACATATAGATTATAGACATATCAATTTGCTTCCACTAGAGTCCACATTCACAGCAAGACTTAAATGACACATATGGCAAACACAAACATTTTAGAAATCTCATAAGCTGACAGCATCACTGCAGTGAATCATGGCTAGGCTAAAGATCATTTTGAGAGTTCTGGAATTTAGGCCTTTCAATAGCATTGGCTAATTTGATGTTTACATGGTTTCAAAATCAGCTTTCCTTTTATCCACCCTCAAACACTGCATTTTCTTCTAAATCCTCATGAGAACCATAACAGTATAGGTGTCAGAGGCAGAAGACATGGGTCTCAGTTAGCAGAGGATAAAAATGGACTCATGCCTTCTGAAAACCTTTATCCTTGTGAGGTTGAGAGATGATTGTGATGCACAGCTATGCCAGCAGAATGTTTTCAACCTGGGAAATTAACCCCCTTTTTAAGGTTGTGACATCATTAAAAAAAATACCCTATGCACCAGCTGAAGCCTCTCTTGAAATGTGTTCTAATCACCCTCCTCCACATAATGAGTGACTTCCCTTCTTCTCACATGTCCCCACCCTCATATCAGATATTTCCTGGAGATCTAAAATCAGCCAGAAGGTGGCTGCAGACTGGGTTACAGATTGGTCTGTTTGAAGGCAGCTTGCTGAAAGGGACAGGGTGACTGCCGATATAATAAGGGCTAAAAGAGGTGAAGGTGAAAAAGGGTAAATGGTTGTTTTAAATTTGGTCTTTTTTTTTTTAATCATGCAGATATTTATCATAAACTCCTTTACCCATCCTGTTGTTCATCTCCATATTTTAGATTTCTCTGCATTTGTTATATAGAATGGCAAATAAAATTACAGCCACAGCGCACAAGTACAAGGTCA